CATACATCAAACGTAGCACACAAATCTAAATACCTCAACATCGCAGATCAACACAGCCATTTCTGCCCGCGAAATCCCGGATCACGTACAGCAGAAGCGTAAACAGAGAGTAAACAGAGAGTAAACAGAGAGTAAACAGAGAGTAGCACCGGCCGGACGAGCCCGACGATCAGGATGAAGTGCGCATTGTGGGAAACGGTATCTGCTGGTTACGCCACCGGACAAATGAAGACAGAATATCGACGCCTACAGCTCGCCTGATGTCTACTAAACAGCACTGCTTTAGTGAACTTCTGCCATTTATGTTCCTCCTACGGCGCGTGTCATACAGCTTCGCCTGGTGAAGACACATCCACCTGTTGGTGGCCACCAGAATCCTGATCAGCTCGGTGTGGTGGTTTTCCAAAACGTGCTGAGTTTCCAGGTGATGGTATCCGAGATTTCACATGTCATCGTTACCGATGCGGCACACCACCGCACTCTCCAGCATCCATCAGGGCAGCCGCGTTCAGCTGCACCAAGCAGCGGCGAAGCTCCTCCTCAGCACTCAGGACCACCCCTTGGCTGCTCCTGCGGAAGAATTCATCAGTCCACCACGATTTTTCAGTCACAGACGGTGACATGTGGATGTGGGATCGTCAGACACTTAAAGGGTCGCCAGCACTTCCTGGAAGGTGGCGCACCCACCTCTGTTCAGTGCCCCTGGGAGGACGAACACGATGACATAGCAAACTGCATTGACGACCACGAAGGACAGCCCAGCCGGAAGTCATGATCGTCCAGCATATCCAGCACCTTAATGCTGTCGGTGTCACACGTGCCGTCGATACCCCGCTGACTGGGACTGTGACTCACAGCCAGGATGGATGTGGGATCCACCCTTGTGATGTTTTTTTTTGTGCTGTGCTGTGGTAGACATCAAAAAGTTTAAGATCGCAGCACCGAGTCTTCATATGATCCAAAATCGAACCATCCAACTCCCACAATATTCAACATGCGTCCAATTCCGCGTCGATTGGGGGCATTTATAGCATCCAAGCGCGCAGCGCCCAAAGTCGTAGCATCATGATCATATTTCATATTTCAAAACGGTATAACATATTTTATAACGGTATCACATAGATCAAAGTTCACAGCATCCAGCGATCACGGCGCTCAAATCAGTCTTGTTTTCTGCCGCCAGATGCCACAGCAATGCCAGATTTCCCTCTTGTGTTAAGATATGACACAGTCAACCTGGCATTCCAAAGATGATCAAGTGATAGGTACAGCGGAACATGGTTACTATGAATTGCCTTGAGTTCCCGGCGGCTGTGTCCGGCCTGAGCGCGGCGGCCCACGGGAGCTCGCCGACGAACTCTGCTCATGCGCGCCGGGCGGTACCGCGGCCGTAGGCGCGGTGGCCGGGGCGGGCTCGGCCGGGACCGCTACGCACGGGGGGGGGGGGGAGGGAGGGCTCAGCCGCCGCCGCCGCCGCCGCCGACGGCCTTGGCTTCGTGCCGAATCATGTTGGCGTGCGGGTGAGGCTGGCGGCACCGTCGAGAGCTGCATGTCGAAGTGCAAGGACCTCATCTTCAAACGCCTCGGTGTGTGAGAGAGGCGGTACGGTGACGTCGCGGCGCCCCTCCGGCACCGCCCCAGGTGCGGCGGCTGCGGCGGCTGGCGGCTGGCGGGTATCGCCTCGCCCGGCTCCCTGTGATGGCCGTCGGTAGTGGCCGGCCGGCTGGTGTGACGGGGCGGTGCGCGCCCGTCGGTGAGATCGAGCCGATCTGGAGGGCACTCGCTGCAGCTGGCGGCTGAGACTTGCAGACGCTCAGGGGCGGATCCAGGGAAAGGGAGGAGGGTGGGCCGGTTCAAGGACTGTCCCCTGGGCCCATAGCCGGCCGAACAGATGCAGCTTTTTAACATAAAAGCAGCAAAATTGGGATGGGCGGCTGCCGCGGCTCGCGCCGAGTGGACGACCACCGCGGTCCGCGCCGAGCCGCGGAATCTGGCCAGCGGCCTCTGGGCCTCGTTGGGAGCGAGGCAGCCGCGGCTCCACGCCACTGGCCAGCAACGGGCGGCGCGGTCTCAGGACCCGCTTGTTCCGCCAGCCAATGCGGCCACTTGACACCTTCACGAGATACATCCGTCACTGTCCCACGCCGGCGATGCGCCGATGCAGTGCAAGCGGCTGGTCTCCGTGTTCTGCACATCGATTCGGCAGCCGACGCGCAGTTCCAAGAGTGGGCGCGACGAGGCGTCGTGACGGCGCCCGTAGATCAGTAGCTCTGGCGCCACACTCATCAACGGCGCGCTGGCACTCGGGTGCGTAGCCCCGTGGTGGGTCGGCACGTCTGACCGCAGCGGGTGGCCGAACAGCGTCTGGGTCGGTGACCTGCCGCCGGTGACCTGGCGCCGGTAACCTGCCGCCGGTAACCTGCCGCCGGTGACCTGCCGCCGGTGACCTGCCGCCGGTGACCTGCCGTCGGTGACCTGCCGCCGGTGACCTGCCGCCGGCCGTGGCCTGCTGCGCAGTTCGTGCAGGCCTCGGTCAAATTGATTGTCGTCCAGCCGTCCACTCGCCGACGCAGCGACGATGATCATTGCCACCACTTTCATGGTGGCCTTGGCGTGTCCGTTGACCCTGGGGTACCGCGGCGACAGCGACTCGTGGCGCACTCCCCACTGGTCCAGGAACCGCCGGATCGTTGAGGAGGCGAACTGCGGTCCGCTGCCCGTTCGCAGCACGACGGGCACACTCGTCTGGGAGAACAGCTATCGCAGCTGCTCCACCAGGTGGTCTGCTGAGGTCGTCCAGGGGCAGACCGTCACATACGGCCAGCCCGACCGCCAACGCCAACGTTCCACGTCAACGCGGAACGTCAACGTTCCACGTCAACGCGGAACGTCCGGCCGGCGCCATGAAAATAGTATGCCGATACAGACTCGAAGACGTGGTTCCAGGTGGCATCTTCTTACTACAGCGACTCGTTGCTGTGGCTGGCGGCGAGCTGTCTGCAGCTCTGGCACGATAAGACGACGTTGCGGATGTCTCGGTCGATCCTCGGCCAGTACACGGAGAGTCGTGCGCGGCGCTTGGTCCTCTCCATGTCCCAGGGAGTGTCGTGGAGACGGGCGAGGACGTCGCGAGGACGTCCGCGACGTCCTCGCGACGACGAGACCGTCGAGACCGTCAACCGCCAGCATAGCACGGACTCCCCAGTAACTCCGCTTCGTGTCGTTGCTCGGGGATCCACCGTGATGACGTCACAGGGGGCTCGGTATTCGGGATCTCGGGCGGTGGCCGCTCGGACGAAGTCCAGAGTCGGTTTTTAGACTGTGCGATCCAAGCGCCATCTTCAGAGGTCGCGCTCCGAGCAGCGACCACGGCAGCGCGCGGAGCAGCACCTGGCAGCGTAGCAGTCGTGCAGCGCGTCCGTCCCCTCCGCAAGTATAGAGGTTAGAAATGTCCACTAGCCAGTCTCAGCTCTTGTCTATCTTTGCCGTAGTAAACACCGTTCGACGTTCAAATGTTCGTATTCACTGTCTTTGCACACACAATTACGTCTCTTCACACAATCGCTGTCTCTCCACCCACTGTCTTTCCCGTCTCAGCTCGCCAACACAAGAACGAAATGTCCCCACCGCTCGACAGTTCGCAGCGCACCTCCCCGCCTCAGCTCTCTCTCATCCCTGTCCCCGGGCGTGGCATGGCGCCGCTGCGCCGGGCGTCCCCCGCCCGTCGCCTCCCCGGCGTCAGGTTTTAGTGGGGACGGGCTGGCGCCGGCTCTGCGACGGCCGCTGACCCCGTCCTGGACCGCACCACATGCACTGTGCTATACATACATAACACGCCTCCGTACATCACATCACATCTTCCGGCGCCGGGTCGCAGACGAAGAGCGCGACAAGGCGTCCGGGATGCGGTGTGGTGACCTTAAGCCAAACGGCAGTGAAGCTGTTGTTCAACATCTTCTCTCGCATCCGCTGGGCGACCAAGGTTGTCGATCTCAGACAGGCTCTTGAAATTCAAAATCGGGACGAGTGGCCGGTGATCCACGGCGAGGTCGAACTGTGGCAGGTCGGGAAAAAGATATGGCACTTGCAGAGGGTTCACAGGCAGGCCAGGCACTCCAGCTTCAGTACCGCGCATGGTGACTCAGTGTCTTTGAAGAAGCGGGAGCCACGCTGGACCAACTTCCATGCATCTCCGTGGCGTTGCTGCAGAACGAAACCCAAACTGCAGGTTTGTACAGAGTTCGCCTGGAGTATGGTAGACAACCGCGGGCCAAAGAGCGTCAGAACAGGCGGCGTCACCAGCGCGTTTTTAAGGTCATGAAACGCCTCCTCGTGCTGCACGGTTCATCTCCAGACAGAGCACTGCTTCAGCAGGTCTCGGACAGGCTGGGCCGTGCCGGTACGCCGGTGATGTCCGCTGAGAAGCAAAGAGCACTGCCTCAGCAGGTCTCGGACAGGCTGGGCCGTGCTGGCGATGCCCGCTGAGAAGCCAGCCAGCTGATGGCGATGTCCGCTGAGAAGCCAGTCAGCTGGTGGCGATGTCCGCTGAGAAGCCAGTCAGCTGACTGGAGAGTCCCAAGGCCGAGCTTCAAGTCAGTCAAGTTCTCTGGACGCGGGAAACCCAAGAACACCTACAGCTTGCTGTCGTCGATCGTGTACCCCCGGTCCGAGATCCGATAGCCGCGGCAGTCCAGCAACTGGACCGAGCGAACTGAAGCTTCCGCGGATTGATCGTGATGCTTTTCTCCCGGCCTGAGAACTTGCTTGAGAACGATGACCTTGCCTGAGAACGATGACCTTGCCTGGGAACGATCTCCTTGCCTGAGAACGATGACCGCGTGAGAGATATGGGCACGGTAGGCCGCGTCGTGCGCCAGCAGGTCGTCTACGGTCTTGACAGTCTTCGGGGCTGTCGCCAAGAGCCGAGTCGCCGTGTCGGTTGTTCTCGTCTCCTGACGAGATGAGGCCCATCGGGTCGCGAGCAGCTTTATGCGGCTCCACTAAGTGGTGAAACAGGTAAGATCCTGCGGCTCTTCCGCGATCGGGACCTGACTGTCGCCCATGACAGCGTCCAGGTTGGTCGGCAGCCGCGCGTCTCCGTCGATGGACGCCACTGCGTCGTGGATCGGCCTGACGCAGTACGCAGGTCTCTTCGCGAACCTGTTGATGGCTGTCGTTTCCACGACTAGCCTGGCTCCTCCCTGACAATAGGTGATCGGCGCCATGGGGTGACACCACTCTGTTGGGTAGTCTACCGGGCCAATGACACCTCTGGCTGTCATGTCGTCAAGCTGCCTCCTGATTTATGCTCTCCAGGAGTACGGTATGGTCCTGGCAGCAGTGGGAGCCGTAGGCACTGCGTCATCTGTCAGCTCAGTTACCATGGGGCCGCCGGTCATCTTGCGGAGCGTCTCGTTGCCATCGAACACGCTCGAAAATGCTGTCTCAGGGCGGCTTCATGTTTCCGTTCTCCGACGACGGCGTCTGGAGGGCTAAAGTCGTGTCGTGTTCCTTGGCCACCCGGGCCGCGCTCTGCGCGCTGCGGGGATCAGCCGGTGGGCGACGCTGGCTGTCCGTGTTGCCGGGTACAGCCAGAAGGCGTCGCTGATTATCAGTCGATAGCTGACGCCAGTATGCCGCTGGCAGGCTGCGGGCGGACATGGCGATCGCTGCTTCGGCCCGCGCGTGCATGGTCTGCATGGGACTGGTACTGCGTGTTGCCGGCATGAACCTGGGCCGGAAAGTCGGCAGGCAGAATCTGTAGACGCACGGTGTGACACCAGCTGAGCATGAACCCGGTTGTTCTAGCACGTAGCACGTTGTTGCACGTTAGAACCTGTTCTAGCACGTAGACGGTTGTGACAGTCTCGCAGTCACCCAGAGTAACCATGGCGCTGAAGTGGCCGATACAGGTCAGGCGCGTGCGTCCAGCGGACGGGAATCTAGTCTCGTCACTCATGGAGCTCATCCAGCTCACCGTGACGCCCACGAACGCAGCCATCTCACTGCCCATCACCGTAGCCTCCGCCCCGGTGTCTGGCGTGCGTAACACGGCCGTGGAGCCTGCTGGGTGAGTGATGCTCCACCTTCACTCGCAGCGTGGACCGCGCGGCCAGCCGATCCACGTCAGCATGGACAACGATTCGCCGCATCTCCGATCGTTCCCAGGCTGTACTCGCTGGTGCCGCACCACCTCCGCGCCTTGCCTGAGGCGTGACCTCTACTCACCCCGGCTGGACGGCCGGTCGCCGGCCGCTTGGTCACGTGACCTGGCGCTCTGCCAGCCGCGGCCGCCGCCTCGGGCGACGCGAGAGGGCGGCTGAGCAGCGCGTGCCGTCGGGAAGTGAACGATATCACGGCCCCCATGGCACGAAACATACACGGCAGGACAGTGCACTCCGGCAGTGTGTCTAGACCGGCCGCAGAGTGGGTGGGAGTCACCTCGACAAGTACGAGCGGAATGGGGCGGATGCGCGACCCGCGATCAGCTGACGCTCGAGCCGCAGTAGTCGGATCGCCACGGACTGCAGTCCCGTTTGCACTCGCCGACTCACACGCGGCAAATGTCCACCACCTTCAGCAGAGGCTTCAGCGCTCCTCGTTGCGTGTGCCGACCACGATCCCGTCCTGGTTCTTAGACATGCGAGTGCAAGTCCCGTCGGTCCAGGATGAGACTGCGCTGACCATGCAGATGAGCTTCCATCGTGCCGATGATGGCCGTCAGGTCGGCGTTCGGAGGGAGCTGGAGACTGCACCGCAGCTTCCGTGTCCACTCGTCGTCGAACAGCGGCATCAGGGCCGCCTCCCGCTCTGTGACGGGCAGCGTCTCCAGACGGGTCAGGAGCCTGAAGTCGATAGATTTCTGGTGTCACGCGCCGAACTCCTTGAGAGACGCGGGCGGGGTCAGGTGTGGCGCCGACATGGCGCTCGACGGGGATCTCGCAGCTGACACCGCCGCGGCGGTGACAGCCTGAGCTGGCTGCCCGCTCTCGGCCGCGGCCGTGTCGCTCCGCGCGGCTGGCGGCCGCTCCTGACCGGCCAGCACCCGCTCCAGCATGGAGGTGAGCTATTTCTTCCGCTGCACCGCCTGCTCGTGCTGCTGTACCATCAGTGCCACTGAGCGCTCGAGCTACTCGCCGCCACTCATCACTGACGCGAGCGATCCCGGAAGGTCGCACGTAGTTCACCGCATCTTAGAATCACCCCACAACCGATCATGTTTCTAGGCCGCGCCATGTCCTCTCCTCATCGGCTGGATCTTGGTTCGGCTCGTCTCGCACATGTGTCGTCTCGGCACGCCACGTCTATCATAACTCAATAGCGATAGACACGAGCAGGGGTCTGGTCGTGCCTGCGTCTGCGCCAATGTGCCGTGCCTGCGCCGGGGGGGAGGGGGGGGGGGGGTCCCCCGGCAGCGGGCGCCAGGAACCCCCCCCCCCCCCCCCCCCGCCCCGGCGCGCCGGGCCACGAGTCAGCTGACGACCCGTTGGCTGACCTGACGGGTCCGTACCGGGAGACCCATATCGTGAGAGTATAGGGCATTGGACATGACGTCAGAGGACGTATGATGGACAGTCTTAGAAAAGGTGACTGAAACAGCATTGCCGGAGGAGTACGATTACATTCGTGTGATGCAAAAGCACATTAAGACCAATTTTAAGGAGTTCGTGCATAAGCGCAGCCATATTTCAGTCCAGTGAACAAAGTCTCATTCCAGTTAGTTACTAAAAGCCCCTTTTCTCATTCGCTTGTTTACGGATACTTGATTATCCTGACATTGCTATGGTGGCGATATCGACGCATTCAGTGAAATTTCTTTGTTCACGGAAACAGTTCATTGAGTTTCTTCGTGGTCAAAGAACAGAGGTTTAAGAGCAAAAACACGTACCTGAACAACTAATTGAGAACCGTTAATTATCCCGTAGCAGTAAATAAGGATGATATTTTTCGATGATGGCTCATAGCCATTACGGTACGAGAACTTCGAAAATGACGTTCATTTTTTAAGACCATGTGACATTCAAGGTCAAAATCAAGGCTAAAACACAGGGAACTCCAAATCGTCGTCAAATTACCAGCCGACTTCGACCTTTGAAACATCAGGATACTTTCCAGCCTACTAACGTTTTTGGCTCACGTTAGTTCATTTGTTGGTGATCATTCTGCCACCGAAAAATCCGAAATTGCCCCGCATTTTTTGTATGAAGTTCCCGGTCCTCAGAGCGTGGATTTGATCTTGCAGGGCACGATACACAAGAAAACAAAGGTCATTTTCGATGTTCTCATGCCAGGATTGACCATATGACGCGTTTTCAGCAAAATCAGAGATAGCTGCTGGATAAGTCGCTGAATAAATCCCAAACTTCACGGATATCTCGGCACGCGGACTTCCCAGCACGGAGAGCTGATAATCACTCATCGGACCAGAACGGTAAACCCCAACATTCCCTATCTCCTCTTTACATCGACCACATAAGCACAACGGTTCCGAGGAGCCCGGACCAGAAGCGTGGAATGGCTTTGCTGTTCCGTCCAGAGCAGGCGAGCTCTGCAGTTTGCATCGTATCAACTCCCCCTCACTCGATTGCGCAATGAATCCTTCAGAATGTTGGAAATCACGACACGAATCTACGGAGCTGCTGCCGCCTCATGAAGGCATCTCCCATTATCAGTTTATTGAAATGAGCCGAGTACTTGAAACGGGTCGCCACTAGTGACTTAAAATAAGTTCCTTGGGGAAGATGTCTTTCTCTTTCACAGGTTTGGGAAGGGAACATAAAATATAGGGAATATCCCAGGGAGTACACATGTCCCACAAAATAGCAATATGGTCAGTCTGAAATGCCATATGAAACACAACGGTGTAATAATATTTGCTCAAGATATTTGCTCAATGATCTTTGCTTGTCCTTGTTCACACATCCTTTAAGTATCCACCTTTATTTGTCACCAGTACCGGAGGTCAGTTTGCAGTACACACAAGTCGGATTCCTGACTGGTACACTCCATCATAGATCATATGATTATCATAGATCATTGATCATCGATCGGAAGACCCGCCCGGCGCTTCACCACGCGCAGAGGCACGGACGACATCGCTTCAGCAACGTATCACATCGACTGCTCCGTCATTCGGCAGGAGCCGGAACACACGAATGTCCACCCGGGACGCAAGCATGTCCACCCGGGACACAAGCATGTCCTGCCGGGACACACGCATGTCCGGCCGGGACACAAGCATGTCCGGCCGGGACACACGGATGTCCGGCCGGGACACACGGATGTCCACCCGGGACACACGGATGTCCACCCGGGACACAAGCATGTCCGGCCGGGACACACGCATGTCCGGCCGGGACACACGGATGTCCGCCCGGCGTCAGCAACCCTCCGCGGGGCGAACGACCGTCGCCATTAACATGGGCTTCACCCGCACTCTAAGAGCCAGCTCAGCCCCGGCGGGCCCCACGTAGCGTTCGACATACCACTGCCGAGTAAACTAGCGGCCGCAACACCCCAGAATCAAACAAAATACAAACCGAAGGAGGGGTTATACGCCAGCCCAGACCGACAAACGCCGGCAAAAAATCAGGCACGGAAGCACACGGCAAATACAACGTGACGTCATAAAACCCAGTTGTAACGGGCAAAGGATATCATGGCTTACAACTGCCAACGCAAACGCGGCCTCCATGACCCCTTGCGGTCCTACCATATTGTCAAGCAACACTAATCTCCACACCAAGACAGAGACAGGATCCGCACCCCCTAACCCAGCCAACCGAGCGATGGCCGGCGAGCCCCGCTGGCATTGCACCAATCAAGGCCTCTGGCTCTTCCACCGATCACAGACATTCGTCACGAACACACAACCGCGGGTCCGTCTTCTGTGAGGTGCGACACGTCGGTACGGCCGGGAGCGATGTCTCACAGATCACGCCTGTGAAAACCGTATGTGAACGGGCTGCTCCGCACCCGAGGCCCCCACAGCGCCTTCCTGCGCCAGCTCTCTCTGCTTCCTGTACTCATTCCGCTGTTTCTTCGTCAGCGGCGCGTATGTATAGCCGTGCTTATGCAGCTGCTCCAGCGCCTCTTGCGAGTACCCGTTGACGGCCTGTGATGCCGACTCCGCCTGCCGCAGGCGCGCTGTCTCCGCCACGCCGGGCGCGCTCAACTTCAGAATGCCGTGGCTCTTCAGCACCTTCCTCCAGTTCTGCCGCGTCTCCCAGCCCTCCGGCAGGTGCAGCCGGAATCTGCCGTCGGCGGTCAGCTTCCTCTTCAAAACCCGCGCCACCTTGAGCTGTCGCTTCTCCTTGGCTTTGTCGGTCGGCGGCCGGAAGCCGTTCTGACGAGGAGTCGTCGCCCTCCGGGGCGGCTGTGCTCGTTCCGCCTCGGCCCCTGCACCGGCCGCTCCAGCCGGACGCAGCTCTTGTACGTCCTCTCCTCCTCCCGTGTCCTGGTCTCCGGCGTCCGGTCTTGGCGCGTCGTCCACCCCGGCGGCCGCTCCGCCGCGCCGCAGACTCCGCAGCATCTTCTTCCGCAGGTGGCGCAGCTTCTTGGCCAGCTGCGGCGCGGTCTCCAGTGGCGTAGGCGGCGGCCCGTTCCCGGCCAGCGCGCGGAGTCGCCAGGCGCGGCCGGCCGCCGCCGGACGCACGGCGGACCGGTCCAGCTCCTCCTCGTCGTCCGACACGACGGTAACGAGCTGCACCAGCGGCCGGCGGTGGCGTACCTCCGCCACCAGCACCACCTCCTCGTCAGTCACCTGCTCTCCGGCGTGCGGTGACGGTGAGGCCGAGTCGGACAAGATCACCTCCTCGGCCACAACGGCGCCGTCCTTCCCCGCCGCCTCGCCGTCGCCCGCCTCAGCCACGGTCTCGCCTTCCTTCGCCGCCGCAGCAGCCGCCGCCGCCGCCCGTCTCTCGTCGCGCCGTCTGGCGCGCTTCTTCTTCCTCTCGATGGCCTTGAGCTCGCGTCTCGCCTGCTTCTCGAGGCGGCGCCGCTCGCGCGCCAAGGCCGGCTGCGGGCTGGGCGGCGCGCTGGCCGGACCCGTCTCGGCCTCCGAGCGAACCGGGGAGGAGGGCTCACTCCGAGGCCGCGGCCGGCTCCGCCCGCCGCCGCCCTGCAGCGTGTCCAGCACGTGGGCGCGCGCGGCGCCCGCCGCCTCATGGCTGCCGGTGAAGTTGATCAGCCACCTGGCGGGGAAGGCGCAAGCTGTTAGTCGGATCAAAAGATGACCGTGGTTAAAGAAGCACGCCGGGCGTAGGCGTATCGTTTTCAAGCGTATTCCCCGACGCACGCATGGAAAGACGACGCCGGAAGAACGTCAATTTACGCCTCAGCATGCCGCAGTCCATGCCGCAGCATACAAATCGTAGCATACAAGACGCTTCCATTCATCTCGACCCCAGCGACAGCGCCTCCGCTTTTGGCAAACAGACCGAGGTTCAAACCCCACGCACTGTACACAGTCGGCCCTGTGCAGGTCGACGCCAAATGCACGACGTGTCTACGTTCAGAGCAGCGTCGTTACGGACGCCTCAGGCGACGCTGTCATGAAACTGCGCACTCCGAGCAATTTCGTGTCGGGCAGTCAACGGTACGGTCAGAGCCGAGCCACCGGCAGGTTTGCAATGGAATGCGGCTTAAGTGGATGAAAATGGGTGGCCGGCTCCTGCCGCAAACAGCCGACCGAGCGAGAGGTCAAGCGGGCACTGACAGCTGTTATGTTCTGCTGATTCAGTTTGCCGGGACCTATTCAGGGCGGATCGTCCGCTTACCCAACACTTGCCAACTATATAAGCAGCTCTTAAGAACAAACATAGCGTGGCTTGCTCGGTTCCCAGCTTCATAGTTCGCGTGCAATTCCCGCAGAGTACTGCGACCCTTCGCATGTACATTCCCTTACTTAAGCAGCGTGACAACTTCGTTCGTTATTCTTCTCTCACGCGAAGCTTTTGTGACTTTGTGGACCTTGTTATGCAAACTCTTCACAGCCAGACTTGCGCCCGTCTGGCTCAAAAAGCTGTCTTTCTCATCAGGGATGCGGGCTTCTAATGTGGATCCGATTCATAACGCGCATCGCGTCCGTAAATGAGTGCTGATGTCGCCCGTTCGGGTTACTCATCCCATTTGTAGCAAGCGACGATCAGATGAGACTTTAAAACAGCACGACGGTGGACGCGTTACCGCTGCAGAGCCGAGATCACGTGTCCGCAAACCTAGAGGCGTTTTACGACGCTGGTCTGGGTCATGGTAGGGCGGGGTTGAAACTAGCTTCCGCGTGCAACTTCGCACCACCTATGCCATGGGAGACAAGGATAGATCTACTCTGTATAATCTAACATACTAGATATGTACCAGTGCATCAGGCTTTCTAGATAAAATGCCCTAGAATACTTATCGATAGAAAAAGAATATAACACAATAAGTTACTTAATATAATACCCCAGAATACTATATCAGAATAATTACGTAAACATACTAAAACACCTAACACTAAAAAATATCAATATACTAGAGTAGTATATCTCCGGTGCATGAACGGCTGTTTCCTCCCCAGCAGCGGACGGCTGAGCGTGAGCCAGGCGCGAGGGACTCACGAGCTGGCGCCGAGCTGTTCGTAGGTGAGTGTAGCGCCCGTGTCGGCCTCCAGCCGCTGCCGGCGGCGGCGGCCGAACACGGCCTCCATCTGCGCCGGCGTGGCCACCAGGCCGGAGACGGCGCTGCTCTCGCACGTGGCTGACGTGTAGGAAATGACCCGCTGCGAGAGCGACGCCAGGCTCGTGTACCGCTGCCGGGCAGAGACAGCGGTCACGACGTGGGGGCGGCTGAGGCCGGCCACGCGGCCAGGCTCGTGTACCGCTGCCGGGGCAGGGCTTAGGCCGGCCACGCGGCCAGGCTCGGGTACCGCTGCCGGGGCAGGGCTTAGGCCGGCCATGCGGCCAGGCTCGGGTACCGCTGCCGGGGCAGGGCTTAGGCCGGCCATGCGGCCAGGCTCGGGTACCGCTGCCGGGGCAGGGCTTAGGCCGGCCACGCGGCCAGGCTCGGGTACCGCTGCCGGGGCAGGGCTTAGGCCGGCCATGCGGCCAGGCTCGGGTACCGCTGCCGGGGCAGGGCTTAGGCCGGCCACGCGGCCAGGCTCGGGTACCGCTGCCGGGGCAGGGCTTAGGCCGGCCATGCGGCCAGGCTCGGGTACCGCTGCCGGGGCAGGGCTTAGGCCGGCCATGCGGCCAGGCTCGGGTACCGCTGCCGGGGCAGGGCTTAGGCCGGCCATGCGGCCAGGCTCGGGTACCGCTGCCGGGGCAGGGCTTAGGCCGGCCATGCGGCCAGGCTCGGGTACCGCTGCCGGGGCAGGGCTTAGGCCGGCCATGCGGCCAGGCTCGGGTACCGCTGCCGGGACAGGGCTTAGGCCGGCCATGCGGCCAGGCTCGGGTACCGCTGCCGGGACAGGGCTTAGGCCGGCCATGCGGCCAGGCTCGGGTACCGCTGCCGGGGCAGAGACAGCGGTGACGACGAGCCAGCGGCCGAAGCCGGCCACTGGCCCAGCTGTCTGCCGGCTGCAGAATGTGTATATGTGCCTGTGGATTGTTCCCACGGCTTTTGTCGCTATCTTGCGTCTCTGATCTGCTTTGCAACCTTTCGTTTTACATCTTGTACACAATAATGCTAATCTTGAAGCCATACTGCATGACTGGGTTTAAGATTCAATGCAACACAATGCACATGGCCAGCCATATTTACGTTGGTGACAGCTCTGTGCGTGCGACAGTGTCTGGAAGACAACAAACGTTCGGGGAGCAACTCCCCTATTCAGCAGCATTTAAGGTCAACCAGCCGTTACAACACTGCGCCGGCCGCACAGACCGACACGCTCTCCGAGCAGCCGGGCGGAGCGGGCGACGAGACCGGCCGACTGACCTCATCTCCACACTGATGGCCGGGGTGACCTCTCACGCCGCACTGCCAGCAGCTGACGCTGCGCGGCGGCCAGCTGTCCAGCGGAGCCGGCGGCTGCACCGGCGCACAGTCTGCAGACGTCTGACGGGCACCGGTCAGGTCAGGTCAGGTCAGGTCAGAGCAGGGCGGGTCAGTCTTGTGGTACAAGTACGGGCGTAAATGCGTCACACCCACCACTCGACTCAGCCTCGAGTCGAACAAGGTTACAATAGTCGGGCAAAAAACCGTGAGCGTCGGTTGAAAGGTGAAGTCAAGGTCAAGTAAGCGAGGTCAGTCGTCTAACGACTAGACACGCGCTTACCCCAACGCAATCTGGCTAAGGATCTAAGCATCTCACCGACAAGAGAAAAGGAACTGGTAATACACGATTGCGTTACATCATGCACCATAACTACCTCCTGATCTTTGCGTACTCTTCCGGCAGCATTTCCGCCCACTGCCCCTGATGACCTTGACCTTTCTCACCGTGGCGTGGTATCGCCTCCAGCGGTCGGGACACGAGTCCGACACGTGACCGTTGGCCTTGCAGAGCGCGCAGAACACCTGCTGGATGTGGCGCGGGCACCGCTCGGTTGGGTGGTCCGGTCGGCCGCACTGGCCAATCAAAACAAGAGTGCATCAGCGTCAACAAATCAGCGGCTGGCGACGGCGGACGACGACCAATGGTAGGGTGGAACGCACTCCTTGCTGGACAGCTTCAACTATATCCGCGTTTTTTCTACGGTGGTAGCTATTATTTTTATTCGTCACAAAAGGATGGATGATAAAAAGACAGTTTACTCATTCTAATACATCCCCCCCCCCAAAAAAAAAATTGCTGACCAAAACAGCAGATGATGAATTATCGGTTTGTCCAGCGTGATTTCCTTGATCTAATCCATCCCCAAAAGAGGCAAAAACAAAAGAATTACAGGTCAGTCCAGCGCGACCACCTGCACTAAATTTCCACCAAACAGCCTGATACGAGCCGCAAAACATCAATTTTTGCGCACCATTCTGGATTTTGACAACTCAGAATGAAAACCCGTGGACGTATCAGTCACACACCGTCCATGTTCTGGGATTCCATGACTCACCATGTAGCAGAACATGTTGGGGCAGCGGAATTCTCCTGAGTGGCCCTTCAGACCACACAGGAGGCAGACGGGAGGCAGACGGCACGCGGCAGCCATGTGGCCGGGCTCGTCACAACGGCGACATCTACCGGCAGGCAGCCGAGGCGTCATTGTCAGTGCTTACACTGGTGGGCGGAGGAGCTCCTGTATGAAGTTGGAAAACCACGACGCTTTTGGGGAAATGAGACCCGAAACAACTAATGACAACAGGGCAAATATTGTCATTGGTTGTTTATGTCAAAATGTCAATATTTCAATACTGTCATGTCAGGAATGCAACAGCCGGAAAGCATATGCCAACAAAGGCATGCTGCAGTTGTACGGAAAGATTGGGATGAGGCATTAGTGTCATGGATGGAATAATTGTTGGGACTTTCGTCCTCGTCTGGTGTGCCAGTACGTCCAAAACGTCTCGGTCAGCTAACTCCCCTGCTGTGGTCAGGTGTTATGGAATCCTTTACAAATCTGTCCTTAAAGGTTTGGCTTGGATGATTTCTTCCCAGTTAGCTCTGTTGGTACAGCACTGGACTCGCAGTCAGAAGATCCTGGTTCGAATGCTAGCAATTGCAACGAGGTAATTCGGGCTGTCACACGTAGATGACTGACAGGTAAACATCGTCCAATTCTTCTAGCGACTCCATAACAATTGACGACGGTCGGAGATTCAACTAGCCGAAACGTTGTGTACAGACTAATACAAGACGTGTACGATATTCAACACTGTTTTCAGTCCCAACGATTTTCCATCTGTAAACGCATGCAATGCAAATCCTGGGGTCATTATAGTTTACTTCAAACCAATGCTGTGTTGCTCTTTTAATGCAAAGATGTTCAAAATCATCACAATGCATGGCTGGTGAGCATCAGTGGAACTCTCTGACACCGAATAAGATAAGGTACAGAAGATTGTGGACACCACCAGAGGGGGAGGGGGACTTCCTGGTTTCTCAGATCGTAATTTCACAGTTATGATGCCACCTCTGTAAAAGAATACACCACCCAGAATATTAGTGCATGACGAAAAAATAATATGTACTTCCAAATACGAGCCATATATGTAGAATGGAAGGACAAGCCACCTGAAAGCACGCATCTGGGAACATCAAAAGCGCAAGCAGCAGCAAAACCCATCCCTTTCATCGGATACTGACTGAGCCCGACGCGACTCGCCCCAATCATCCGAACACCTGCTCCACCGCCTTCTCCCAGCGGGCCCATCAGCACCAGGCTCACCTGTTCCGCTGCATGTTGATATAGTAGCGGGCGCGGGCGTTACCCTTCAGCCTGCCGGGCAGAAACTCAGCCGGCACCCGCCAGTCCTCTCCTGCAGTAGGCGCCGGCGGTGCCGGTCAGCGGTGGGCGCGAGCAGCGCAGGCCGAGGCGGCAAGCCGAGACGGCGGACGCCATACTCCAGCCCGCGGTCAGTCCCACACAACCGAGGACGGCACCCTCCAGCCGGCGGTCAGTCCCACACAAACACGGACGATACCCTCCAGCCCGCGGTCAATCCCACACAACCACGGACGGCGTACTCCAGCCGGCGGTCAGTCCCACACAACCAAGGACGGCACCCTCCAGCCCGCGGTCAGTCCCACACAACCACGGACGACACCCTCCAGCCGGCGGTCAGTCCCACACAACCACGGACGGCACCCTACACCCAGCGGTCAGTCCCACATAACCACGGACGGCACCCTCCAGCCGGCGGTCAGTCCCACACAAACACGGACGGCACCCTCCAGCCGGCGGTCAGTCCCACACAACCACGGACGGCACCCTACACCCAGCGGTCAGTCCCACATAACCACGGACGGCACCCTCCAGCCGGCGGTCAGTCCCACACAACCACGGACGGCACCCTCCAGCCGGCGGTCAGTCCCACACAACCACAGATGGTACCCTCCAGCCGGCGGTCAGTCCCACACAACCATCCCATGCAACCACGGACGGCGTACTCCACCCGGCGGTCAGTCCCACGCAACCACGGACGGCATACTCCAGCCGGCGGTCAGTCCAACACAACCGTCCCACACAACCACGGACGGCATACTCCAGCCGGCGGTCAGTCCAACACAACCGTCCCACACAACCACGGACGGCATACTCCACCCGGCGGTCAGTCCCACGCAACCACGAACGGCACCCTCCACCCGGCGGTCAGTCCGACACAACCACGGACGGCACCCTCCAGCCGGCGGTCAGTCCCACACAACCACAGATGGAATACTTCAGCTGACAGTTAGTCCCACACAACCACAGATGGTACCCTCCAGCCGGCGGTCAGTCCCACACAACCACAGATGGAATACTTCAGCCGGCGGTCAGTCCCACACAACCACAGATGGTACCCTCCAGCCGGCGGTCGGTCCCACACAACCACGGACTGCATACTCCAGCCGGCGGTCAGTCCCACACAACCACGGACGGCACCCTCCAGCCGGCGGTCAGTCCCACACAACCACAGATGGTACCCTCCAGCCGGTGGTCAGTCCCACACAACCACAGACGGCACCCTCCAGCCGGCAGTCAGTCCCACACAACCACGGACGGCATACTCCAGCCGGCGGTCAGTCCCACACAAACACGGACGGCACCCTCCAGCCGGCGGTCGATCCCACAAACAACCACGGACTGCATACTCCAGTCGGCGGTCAGTCCCACACAACCACGGACGGCACACTCCAGCCGGCGGTCAGTCCCACACAACCGCGGACGGCACCCTCCAGCCGGCGGCCAGTCCCACACAAACTCGGACGGCGGCGGCGTGCGGGACATTCTGGAGCGACATCGGGTTCCGCGACCACTCCATTGGTACTACAGCTCTCGAGATAACGCACGCTCCTAGTCACAAGGTCGAGGTGACAAGGTCAACATCATAAGGCCAACCTCACAAGGTCAGCGTCCCACGGTCATAAGGTCAATGACACCATGAGAGATCAATTACCTTGATCACAAGGTCAAGGTTACCAGGAGGAGTCAATCACCTTGGTTACGGACGAGGTCACAAGTATGCAGACAAGGCTGAGGCACGCAGCCCTGCTGCTGTCCAATACAAACCTAACCCATTTCTCCCCTCCTTCCCCATGGGCCAGGGTCCAGAACGGACGGCCCTGCGCCCCTCATCCCCACTGCACACCTCCAGTCTCGACATCCCCTCACCAAGCCCACAGGTCAGCGGGGGCACAATGTCACAGCTCATGACGTCACGTCTCGCCTGGTGGCATGACGTCACACTCACGGCTCATGACGTCCCCGCGGGGTCCGCCGTCGCCGGCGGCGTAGTCTCGGGGCGTGCTGTAGCCGGCCCGCTGCTGGTCGCTCCACTTCCGGCAGGGTGCGTGCCGGGAGAGGGCGCGCAGCAGGCGGGCCCCGGCCCCGCTCACACCGGCCGAGCGCATCAGCTGCCTGTGAGGTCAGGCCAGGTCATCAGCTGCCTGTGAGGTCAGCCCAGGTTATCAGCTGCCTGTCAGGTCCAACTGGGCCATCAGCTGGCTGTGAGGTCAGGCCAGGTCATTGGCTGTCAGTCAGGTTTGATTGGGCCATCAGCTGCCTGTGAGGTCAGGCCAGGTTATCAGCTGTCCATGAGGTCAGGTTGAGCCATAACTTGCCTGTCAGGTCAGGTCATCAGTTCTCTAAGGGAGAGGGTCAGGTCATCACCTGTCTGCAAGGTCAGGTCAAGTCAAGTCAAGTCACTGCCCATGTGACTCATCAGGCCAAGTCAAAGATGGCTAAGACATCTTTCAGATCAGGCCATCAGCTACCAGGTCAGATCATTAAACCACCTATTACAAATCCAGTGTTTGGGTTTGCATCAAATTTTTACCTGCCTGAGATGCATTGATAAATCATGTGATCAGTTGTTCTATACATGAGGTCTATTTGCAGGCTCCAGTCAAGCCACTACTGCCACAGGGGAAAGGACATAAGTCAGGCAAATTATCATGTGGACAAGGATGAATCTTATGAAAGGCAGACAGACGAAAATAAAACCCATCCTGGAGCAAAAGTAGCATCTCATACACCATACAATGTGACCCACCTGCAGACAGGAGGTGAGAGGCTGAGCTCGGCGTCCTCCACGGTGACGTCACCCCTCGCCTGTGTGGCATCAGCGGCGCCCTGCACGTTGACGCGTATGTCGCAGTCCGGTGGCGGCCCGGCAGCGTCCGAGTCGGAGGAGGAGCTGGTGTCGGAGCTGGTGCGGAGGCGGTGGCCGGCGGCGCGGCGCGGCGCGGCTCGCCGCGCCACGGCTGGCCCCCCGGCCGCCGGCGGCGACTGCGCCAGCTCCACCACCTCCGGCGAGGAGCTGGCGGCGCGCGCCGCGGCCCGCGCCTGCTCACCAGCACCGGCCGGATGAGCCGGCAGTACGAGCACGTCCTCATCCGACGAGCTGGACGAGGCCGGGGCGGCGGGGAGCGGCGCGCGGCGGGCGCGACGGGCCGCAGCCGCCAGCGCCGCCGTCTTCGTCTCCGGCTCGTCGGAGGAGGAGAAGTCGTCGTCCGGCAGCGGACGCTTCAGCGGCGGCCGGCCGCGGGCGGCGGCAGAAGCGCGCGACGGGCCGGGAGGGGGCGGCGCACACAGCTGGGCAGAAGACATGCTGACTGTTCTGCTGGAGGAGCTGGAGGATGGCTGGGTCATGCCTGGCTCGGAGGAAGCTAGCGACTGAGTGGAGCACAGCTGGGTTGATGGCTGAGAAAATTGGGCGCCTGATGACATGGCCAGTTTAGTGGCCTTTGATGAGGCTCTCATGCTGTTTTCTGACTGGAGATGGACAGCCATTGGAACTGACCCATTTTTCACCAGGCCAGCAGCAGATGCTGACGCTTCCTGTTTGTCAGCATAGGTGTTGGGGCTGGCAGCAGCCACATTAGTGGTGCTGAGGGCCGTATGATGCTGGTGTTGTGGGCTTGCATACACAGAGCTCCTTCTATTCCCACTCAACTCCGCAGGCAGCTGAGGACTGAGACCATTGGTCACTGAACCTTCTGCAAGCAAAATGAAGTCTGGGGATCCGTCCAGACTGCTGGGTGCCATTGGTGATGAGGCTGAAGATGCAAAAGCTGAGAGTGGTGCCAATGAAGCACCTGGTGTTTCCACATCCACAGATGCATGGTGCACCTGAGCATACAGCAGAGCCTCCAGTTCTTCTCGCTCAGCTTCGTCCATTTCTTCCAAATCAGGGATGGTACTGAACATGTCCATCCTGCAATGAGTATTTACATAGTATTGGAAGGGTATCATGCAGTCCTTACAACTAATGAGTCCTCTTCAGCAATAGCTCTGATCACAATTCTTTCAAAAGTATTATCAGACATTCAGATCTGTGTTCATGAGGAAGACTTTTGTGTTATAAGATATGAAATGCTATTCATGTCTGTTGTGTATATATATATATATATATATATATATATATATATATACATGTATACATCGTAAAGCATAATAAAGATTACAACAGCATTCAACAAGTACCTGGGTGAAATATTATATCTTTTTAATTCCTTAGCACATTGGCTTCATTTGCACTGAATTTGGTGCTACCCATTCATAAGCTCATAGCACTGCAGCACAAATCACATCACACTGAGTTCATGACACTACATTTACGGCACAGGCCCACTGTAATTCCCTGATGTTGCTACTATTGTGTCCATGCTACAATCAACATGTAATTCTTGCATTCTGGCTAATGATTTGTCCATCCCATGCAAACAGGAGTAGGCGGTAACAAGCACATAACTTCAGAAACACCATTTTCCGCACCAAAGCTTCAGCATTAATCACTCCCGTCGCAGAGCACAGCGGATTCCAACATGACCTGAACCCCACCTCTCCATGATTAACATTTTGGACTCCAAGATGCCAATACACTTTACCTGGACTCGGGATCGACAATGAGATGAAAACTGCCTATCTTCCAAACACGCAGAACGCAGACCTCGACCCCTCATCACCATGTGGCTTATCTAGGAACAGCAGCTGATTCGTTATCAACCAGGAGTGTAATTGTAGCGCTTGCGCCGTTTTCACATCATGTAGGGCATGGTTTCAATTCAATGGACCCTGTTTGCTATAAACAGTCATAGGCTTTTGCTAGTCAATAGCACGTTGCGCTGGTGAAGTGCAACGCTGAAATGGCACCCATGAGTGCAGCACTTCACCAGGCTTTCATATGACTACGGACTGCTAACAGCTACCTTTGAAGTCATTTGAGCTGTTCAACAGCTTTCGGTAGGTATATTTGAACAAATCTCAAGAAAGCATTTCACTTTAAATTTGATCAACACGTTTTTGATGGATAAGTAATGAATTATTATCTTTTATCTTAAGATCTAAGAATACAGCTACTTACCCTGCCCGTTCGGAGTGGTACGTCAATCAACAAGTTCTGTTTGTTGTGGAACTTGTAATGTGCAGGAATGTGGCGAAGTGTGACGCAGCGCAGCTTTGTAAGTTGTTTGTGAGTTCATGGCCTGTTGCATGGGGTGGTAGAGTTGACGGGGCAAGTACAAATAGCATCATTGAAGCCCGCCAGGTCGGCGGCGGTGTCATCGGTGGGCGTGCAGCTTAAGGCTGTTTCCAGTTGTGCTCCATTACTGCTCTCATAGACCAGGGAAAAGGGACATGTCAGCTAGCATTCTCCTCGTTGTGTTGGAATATGCGTGTATTTGCTTTAGACTCTGGAGAACTCGACCCCTGCCTGAAGTAGTGCATAATGCTCGCAATAGGGGTTGTGCAGCTTGTTAGAAGCTCTGAGCCAACCTGCAAAAGACTACACTGTGCGTCAGCAATGTCATTAAGAATATCTGCCTTATGTTATAAACCCAAGCCTACAGAGTTTTGTGCACATTCACCACCAATTTCAGCACAGAGGGAGGCAATGTTTCATGAAATTATGATAATAAAAGGGTGAATATAAATGTGAATCCTCAGAAAACATTTCTTACCTGAAAACAAGTTGCACATTAGCTCATTTTGGCCTGGGATGAGTTCTTTCATTGTGGGTGTGAGATTCAGTGGACAGTGTTGCATAGGCATCACATGCAGTGGGTTAATTTTTAGCAGACTTCTTTCTAAGAGCTCTTTGTTGGCTTAATCTTCTTTCTTTCTTGACAGCAGGATTTAGATTGGATAAAAATTAGAGACCCATATAGGTGCTGTCATCACTTTCTCCTTAGGTTTGCAGGAGGAGCTGCAGGGTTTTGTTCAAGGTTTCCAGCTGCATACTCACATATAGGTGATCTCTGGTCATCTGTGCTTGGTGTATTTCAGGTTTGAGGTAAACCCTGCCTGCATGTCCTAGAGGCACCATGTGGAAGTGCAGGAGATGTGAAAAGCCAGTGTACTTTGGTAAGTTGTCCTGATGTGTAGAGGCACAAATAAATATAGTGTAGAAGTTAGGCTAAAATACTCTTGCTATCACAAACATTGCAATTATTTAAATTCATCTATAAATAAGCATTTCTGTTATGATGTACATTAACAAATGAAATGATCATGTTGTTCTCTGTAAGTGAGCATTCCACCATGGCCATGTTGATTTCATCACATATACCATCTGTAATAACTTACAATTATCTAGAAAAACCATCATACAACATTAAGGTATGTTTGGTTATTCTCAATGATGCAGCCATGAGCAAAACAGTCAATCTTTTCATTTATGCCTGGACTTTGCTATTCTGAAATGTGCTGCCAGCATATAATAGGACAGTGATGGCTCCTAAGGACTGGACAATGGGCTAAGGCAATGGAGCAAAACATTTTGGTTCTCTTGTCCAAGAGCTAAAATGAGCCACTCAATGCCAGACCATCAATGTCATATTTAGAGTTGTTTCTCACTCAGTGATGCATTTTGTTGCACCAGTATGGAGGGACATGTTGCAACACAGTGTGATATGTCTGTCTGCATCTCACCCATCAGCTGAGCGAAAGCAGAGCATGGGGTTTGACTGGCACCCAGAGTGTCTGCGCTGCAGCGAGTGCAGCAAGAGGCTCAACCCTGGCCAGCATGCAGAGGTAGGGGCTGTTGAGTGTAATGTCTGCCTGCTTGCTGGCCATTAACAAGCAGTGGACTTTTTGTTGTCCTCTCAGGGCGCACCAGTTGCGGAGACTGTTTTACGGCAATTGGTGTAGTTGTTAGCTCTAGCCATCACCTTGCATCAGATGGTGCTTGTGACTGATGTCTTGAACTGAACCAACTATTACATGCTATCACATATGCTTTCATTGTGTCTAATGAAGAAGTTTGCCAGGAACAGTCAACTCTAATGCATTACACTACATCTTGGTGATCTTAAAGCCATTTGTATTGCTAGGAATGGACATTTCATGACATCTGGCATGAAGAACATGATGCCACTAGGCTGAGCACCTCATTGTGCTCAAAACACCATTCTGGTATCATAGCCCCCTGATGATGTGCATGCTATGCAGATGCCACACTGCCTAGATGCACTTGTACCTGCTCTCAGACACCAGACCACTCAGCCTCACATGCTGGGCACATTATCTGTAGCTCTCTTGTTCATTGAGTGTCGAGGCTACGAGATTGAGCGGACCCAGAATACCGAGTCCGAGTCGAGTCGCATCCCCGAGCTTGTCTGCTAGGTGACCCGTCGCCGGTCAATCCTCGGTCAGTTTTTACCTTTCTGAGTGACATCAACCCCCAACCTTGAATTCGCAATGACCTGGCCTGACCTGAACAGCTCAGAAGGCACATCACCCGCAGTCTGAAAATACATTCGGTTTCCATTTACAGCGTCCTGTTCCGGTGTGCAGCCGACAAGGCACCGAGGGAGAGTTGAAACTGCTGCTTGTCTGCACATACTCGGACGACTTGACGTGGCTTCTTTAAGCACGATGTGGGTGCAAATAACCACTGCACCTCATGTTTCCATGAGACTCAAACGCTAACCAACTTCCCGGCGTCGCAGCACAAGGGGGCGCCGTACTGCCACGTGCCGTGCTACGGCGCTCTGTTCGGGCCACACCTGTTCGGCCACGGCACGCACGTGGAGGCGCACGCGAGCTTCGGGCGGCGCGGCTCGGAGTCGGAGACGGCGCGCGAGCTGGCCGACCGCCAGCTGCTAGAGCGCCAGCTGAAGGCCTACAACAAGTACCACGAGAGCAGCCGCACGCAGATCCACAGCAGGGAGGCGAGTGCTGGGCCGGGGACGGGGGCCGGCCGGGGACGGGAGACGGCGGAGGCCAGGGGACGGGAGGCGGCCGGGAGACGGGAGACGACGCCGGTCAGGGGATGGAGGACGACGGAGGCCAGGGGACGGGAGACGGGCGCCGGCCGAGGATGGGAGACGGCGGAAACCAGGGGACGGGAGACGGCGGAGGCCAGGGGACGGGAAATGGCGCCGGCCGGGGATGGGAGACGGCGGAGGTCAGGGGACGGGAGACGGCGCCGGCGGAGGATGGGAGACGGCGCTGGCCGGGGACGGGAGACGGCGCCGGCGGAGGATGGGAGACGGCGCCGGCCGGGGACGGGAGACGGCGCCGGTCGGGGGCGGGAGACTGTGTCGGTGAGGGACGGGAGACGGCGCCGGTCGGGAACGGTAGACGGGAGACGGGCGTCGGTGAGGGACGGGAGACGGTGCCGGTCCGGGGCGGGAGACGGCGGAGGCCGGGGACGGTGGAGGCCGGGGACGGCGGAGGCCGGGACGGCGCCAGTGAGGGACGGGAGACGGTGCCGGTCGGGGGCGAGAGATGGCGCCGGTGAGGGACAGGAGACGGTGCCGGTCGGGGGCGGGAGACGGCGCCGGCGGAGGACGGGAGATGGACGCCGGCCGACGCCGTCTCCCACATGCCTGGTCTATCACATGCTTGCGGTACTGTCTCCTTATTCAACTTAGCGTGATATGTCAATGTATGCATTGCCTACAGAGAGCGTTCCATTCAAAAATGCTCCCTCCGAACTAGACACCATAGGAATGGATTCAGGCGTTGAGCCTTGCGTATTTGAGTCATAACCAAACCTGACTCAGACCTGCGGTCATTCAGGCAGCATCCAGCAGTGAGCCGCAATCAGTAGTTGACTCCGCGGAACTGGGATCAACCACATGTTGATTATCCGATGTGACATCTGGTGTGACGGCTCGGCCGAGCCGTCACACCTCCCCCCCCCCGCCCCCCCCCCCCGCCCCACCGCGCGCTACGTCGCGGGTCGTGCGCGTGCTTTGACGCGCCGACCTGGCCGCCTGTGGGCGCCGCCTCAGCCGCCGAGTAACCCGCACCGCGGCGCGTGCGCTGCAGAGGAACGGCCGCCTGATCCTGGACGGCGTGCTGAAGCTGTACTGGGGAGTCAACAAGCTGCTCCAGTTCAAGGAGGATGACGACCAGCGGCCCATCGTCAGGAAACGCATGTCGCAGTTCGTGGAGGTACGGCGCTGCGGAGCTGGGATGGAGAGGGCGGTGGGTGGCTCAGAGCTGGGCTGGGATGGAGAGGGCGGTGGGTGGCTCAGAGCTGGGCTGTGATGGAGAGGGCGGTGGTTGGCTCAGAGCCGGGCTGTGATGGAGAAGGCAGTGGGTGGCTCAGAGCCGGGCTGTGATGGAGAGGGCAGTGGGTGGCTCAGAGCCGGGCTGGGGTGGAGATGGGGAGGGTTGTGGGTGGTCCTGATGCTCTGGTCTGGTGTGAGGCGGCTCTGAGCAGCGCCGTCCTTGGCCGCCAGGACTCGCCCGTGCTGTGGCTCTAGGTTATTTGTTCTGTGGGTTCAGGTGTGCTCTTGCGGGGGGGGGGGGGGCGCTGGACTTCGGCCGGAGAAACGAGACACGATGCTGATGGCTGTATTAAGGAGCAAATAACCCCAGCGCGAGGACACTCAAATTAGTACACATAGTGCCTATTAAAGGTCGCTATTAAATCTGTCATCGCAAGCAGAAAACAACCTGTGTGTAACAACCACAGGTGTGTATTTTTCACTTATTTGTGAACCAGTTGCAAAGTGACATCAATGTTATGTGTCATCTATGGACTTCATTCACTGTGTTATCAAACTCCCCTTGCCTTCATTGTTACTGTGTACACTCTCCCACTACCATAATGGGGTACAGTTACTAGCGTCACCCTGCCGCCGCCAGCCGACCCAGCGTAGCCTCGACTCTGATTCCGGCTCGGACAGCGGCTCAGCGCCGGCCACGCCCGTCTCCTCGCCGGCGCACGGGCACGCGCGTAACCAGAGCGTCACGCCGCACGCGCTCAGCCAGCTGGCCAGCGTCACGCCGCCGCCGCCGCCGGAGGTCAGTCAGCGCGCCGTTGGGCCGCCGGGCTGGACTGGAGTGGTTACGCCTCACGCATCAGACCAGACGCGCCTCACGCATCAGACCAGACACGCCTAACGCATCAGACCACAAACGCCTCACGCATCAGAGCACAAACGCCTCACACATCAGACCACAAACGCCTCACGCATCAGAGCACAAACGCCTCATGCATCAGACCACAAACGCCTCACGCATCAGACCACAGACGCCTCACGCATCAGACCACAAATGCCTCACGCATCAGACCACAATTGCCTCACGCTTCAGACCACAAACGCCTCACGCTTCAGACCACAGACGCCTCATGCTTCAGACCACAAACGCCTCACGCATCAGAGCAGACACTCCTCACGCATCAGACCACAAACGCCTCACGCATCAGACCACAAACGCCTCACGCATCAGACCACAAACGCCTCACGCATTGGAGGAGACACTCCTCACGCATCAGACCAGTCTTTCATGGTTTATCTTCTATTGAACTTTTGCAAAGACGTCACTTGCATTGTGTGCGCGGCACATGCATGTCCCACCCCTTTGTGTAAGGGGAGCTGACGATGTAAACACAGTGTGTTCCTGGTGGTGTCGTTCAGGATCAGCGAGTTTCCAGATGACGAGCTTGTTGTATGCTGTAGCCTGTGATGCTGGGGTGTGGTTGTACCCGTGCACCTTGCCTCAGGCGGAGACGAACGGTCACGTGGTCCCCGAAGACGGCGTGGAGAAGGGTCAGCTGGAGGTCAGCGAGGTGGAGAACTGCAACAAGGAGGGGCCTTCCCCGGCCGCCGTGGTGGACTCGTCGCCGACGGACGAGTCCACCACCGAGCCTCCCCTCCGGCAGCCGGCCAAGTCGCGGGTCATCCGGCGACGGCCGGGACGGCGCATGAACAAGACCAAGATCAAGGTCAGTCCCAGAAAAATGGTTTCCATGTGTACTATGCTATCAATGTGCCCAAAAGACCAAACCAGCTTCATCATTTTAGCAGAGGCGAGTTGATCTGGAGCTATTTCCATAAGTGATATATCGACCCAACGTGGCCAATTTCGTCGGTATTTACACTCCCCCCCCCCCCCCCCCCGATAACAGTGCAGTTTGCAGTTAAGCATTTACACTGTTTGTGGAGGTGATCACCATTGGTCGTAACCTGCCGTACTATGGCGGAGGTGGTGCCCGCCTGAACTCTTCTGCCGTGACTCGACCGAAAGCTGTGATGTACAGAACATAGGATATGAGGCGTCAAACGGCGTTTGTATGCGTGCTGATCGCTAGTTGGCACTGTACTGTCCTGATATGACCTGATCTGTGGCTGACCTGGCACGGCGTGACACTCCTGGCCTGACCTGACCTGCCGCTGAGTGATCTGCCCGCTGCTGACTGATGTGACGCCCTGACCTGACCTGACCTGATCTGACCTGACCTGACCTGACCTGCTGTGGCCGGCAGCGTCGCTGCTCCATCAACGGCCACTTCTACAACCGCGAGACGTCGGTGTTCACGCCGCCGCACGGCTCCGGCCTGTCGGTGTGGGTCACCTCGCTGGTGACCTCGCGTGAGATGATCGACATGGTGCTGGAGAAGTACCGCGTCGAAGACCGCGCCGACAACTTCGCCCTCTACATCGTCTGGGACTCGGGCGGTGAGTGAGGCCGACTCGGCGGCCGACACGGCGGCGACGCGCGCCGCACACGCCGCACACGCCGCTCACGCCGCACACGCCGCACACGCCGCACACGCCGCACACGCCGCACACGCCGCTTGCGGCTCAGCCAGGACGGGAGGAACATGATCCGCCGCCAACGAAACACCACACGCTTGCCATTTTGTTTAGCGTGTTAATGTCGTGGAAAAGGTGTGGAAATAAAGGAAAGCGAATAAGAATGCCTGCTGCAGCTTCACTGGCATACTGCATTGCTCTACGTGTGCTTGTCAGCGATATTCCAGAATTTCTGCCAAGAACCGGACGCGACAGAGTGACAAAGCTGCTTGAAGTTGCTTGCTTGAAGTTGACACACCATAGTCCTCCGTCTGGGTCACGTGAGACGGTCAGAGGGCCAGTGTATGTGTTGACCATAAACCCCCAATAGTTGCTGTGCTGCGCGCCGCCTGGCCACCGCCGGAGACCTGGGGTAGGGAAACGCCACGTGGTGGCGACCGTACCCAGTTTAATCCACATCAGCTCAACGCGTTCCCTTACACAGCCTCGTGCAGGCAGCTCTGCAACACTGCTCTCTCAACATCCCCCATCTGTGCTGGGGTCTGATGTCTGTTGGGTTTGAGCAGGAGGGGGAGGGGGAGTGTGCAGTCTCTGAGAACTGGGCGAGCTCAGCTGGGTGGGGGTGGGGGGGGGGGGGGGCGACTCTTCGTGATCTGACGAAGCTCAGCTGGAGGGAACTCTGCTGTATGATCTGGAGGCCCGCGGCCGGTGTAGAGACGCCGGCTGGTGCGTTCGCGTGCGCTGACGCCCGGCCGGTGATGCCCCGTGTCATCAGAGCGGCGGCGTCTCCGGAGTGACGAGTACCCGCTGCTGACGAGGATCTCCAGCGGTCCGTCGGAGGCGGCCGCCCGGCTCTTCATCATGGACCGGGAGACCACCGCCGAGATCCGTGAGTGGCCGGCCGGCGGCGCGTCCCCCGGCACGGCCGGCCGGTCCCCGCCCGCCGGCCGGCCGCAACCAGCCGCTCGCACAGTCGCGGCATCGATACTGCTGGCCGTTGGGATGAGGTATGCCTCCCCAGCTGGCGCCGTGCGGTGTTTGGTGTTCAGAGGAGCGGCGCTCAGACAGAGCGCTCGTTGTTGCTGTGGCGCCTTTGGTCCAACCGCTTCGCTGGGACCGCCTGCCGGACCCAGGACGCCAGCAGCGTATCCACGTGCTCGTCCCCGGACCCTGGCTCGTTATTGTTTCAAGCGGCACACTGCAAACATCCGCTGGACAGAAGACCCGAACGCACTGCAGCTCGTGCTGACCTCTAACCTCTCTGGACAGGGAGTGAGGTGGCGCAATACATCAACCTGACCGATGTGGAATGCACCGCCATCTTGCAGAAGTACAGGGAGGAGGAGGAACGCCAGCTGCAGCGAATTAAGGACAAGTAGGTGACTGGGGGCAGTGGAGCTCAGTCACAGCTAGTGAGCCTGGAGACCTGTGTGAGAACAACGTGGACTGAAGAGAATGTTCTCTTCAGGTGTCGTTTGTTAAGCTATGTGATGATGGGCTCGAGTGGCGCGTGGGGGCCCCCACCTTTCCGTCGCTACCGTCTGACACGTTTGACACGGTGTGCGTGACTGGCTCGTGCCACTCCTTGCGATAGTGTGGCGCCAGGCCGCCGCGCGCTGGTCTCGGCCGGGCCGGGCCGCCGCGCCCCAACCACGCCTAGGATTGTCGCCCATACTGACCCTCCTCTCCCCCGGCGGGTGCGGCAGGCGCCGGGCCGCCGCGCTCTGACGACGCTCAGGCTTTTCGCCCGGTTCTAACCATCCTCTCCCCCGGCGGGTACGGCAGGCGCCGGGCCGCCGCGCTCTGACCACGCGCATGCTCTTCGCGCCATGCTGACCCTCTTCTGCCCGGCGGGTCCGCCAGGTTCGCCGAGATGAGGGAGCGCATCAAGAGCCGCATGCGGGATCTCAAGGTGCAGCTGTGAGCCGGCTCCGTCGGCGGCGAGGCGCAGCGCCGCCGCGGCCGGCCTGGGTCGCACATAGCGCTGACGTCACGGGCCGTGACCAAGTGCCCGCACTCAAGAGCTGAGGCTAGCTTTCTGATTGGTTGCTGTCGCGATATTGTTTTTGTACAAGACACTGCAGCATGACTCGTGCCATGATTTCCGTAGTCGTTGCGAGGCTGGCGCGCGTGGCTTCTTCCATTGGACGCTTCCGTATGGTTTGGGGAGGTGGTCTGCGTGTCAGTTGTGGATCCGATGCTCGCGCCCTCTGCTACGGAGGAGCCTTTACGTAGCGAAGAGCGTGGCGGACTGGCGAAGGTATCTTATCGCTGCCTGTTTTCGGAGACGAATGTGTCGTCTCAAAGAACTAAGCCCATTCCGACGGATGGCAGATTGGGCTTAGTTCGCTGTCTAACCCGCTGGGGCAGTTCACGGATTGGTTACCGGAAGCCAGTCGCGGGCCGTAGGCTGCCCGTTCTGCTGTGATTGCGCGCGTTGCCGCCAGGTGTCTCGTGTGGAGGCGTGGAGTGATCGGCCCGGAGACGCGAGACGGATTGGTTCTGGGCGGGATCGCCCTCGCCGGGGTCCGTGGGATCGTCACAGCTCTTTCCTGCGGCCGGGCTCCAGCCGAGTGGTGCCCAGCCGAGTGGTGCCCCTCCTGCTCCGAGGAGGAGGAGCAGGAGGAGGAGGGAGCTGCCCTCTGGTCAGCGACCCGGACGGGAGGGGGGGGGGGGCAGAGGTTGGCCCCAGTGATGAGGGGCACCGATCCGGCTCGACGCTCCGGCGCGTGTCTCAGTTTGGTCGGGGGGGGGGGGGGGGGAGGAGGCAGTCGACTGACGCGTGGGAGGACGTCCGAACACGGCTGGAATCCGAGCGCCGGTTAGACCGGAGGCCAGCGTGGGGCCCGGGCAGGCCCCCGCGGCCGCGTCCGGTCCCGCGGTGGGAAGGTACGTCAAAGCAGGGACTAACAGGAACGCGGCGCCGGTGAGTGGGGTGGAAGGGAGTGTGAGCGTGTCCGTGGCGCGACTGTCCCGGACGCTAACCGGATGGGGATGTCTGAGGGAGTTGAAGGCCTGTCTGGACAGCGCTGTCGTCGGCAGAGGAGCGCATTCGTCTGTTTCCGAATCTCCTGTACTGCCCGATCTGTGCCTTCGTATTGTGATGAGTGGCCATTGTAAAGTCTGGGGCGTATGCTCTCTCGCTCGCTCTCTCTGTCTTGGACGGGACGCGGACGCGGCTGCCGCGCTCACATGCCAAGCGTGGACCTGCCTGCGGACACCACCAGTGCAGTGGTCCGCCGTCACCGGGAACGTTGGCCTGTGCTCAGACTGTGTGCTGGCCACCTGAGAGCCGTCGGCCGATCACTGCGAGTCCAGTCCCTAGGGCCTCCCCTGCCTACGTCGCTGCTGACGACCCGTCGCCGCTGCTGACCCCCGTGAGTGCAGGCTGACGTGCACAGCTCTCGGTCATCAACGGCACCTGGTGCGTACAGCGACACAGCCCAGGCTGGGCGGCGGGGCTCGCTGGTTCGCTCGTCACACGGGGAGGCGCGCAGGTCCCGCGCTTGGGCTGCATTAACACACCACGCTTTGCCCTGAGGGCGCTCTCCCTGCGTCATGGTCCCATCTCGCCAATCCGTGATGTATGACAATATCGTGACAATTGGAGCGTCGCCTTTATACAAGGCATTAGCCAGAGCGATGTGAAGGCTGCAGTCTGATGTGTGAGAAATCTCTTGCCGTGCATCTGGGGAGAATCCTCCGAGATTTGGTGAGCCGCCGATGCTTTGTGAGCTTACGGAAGCTCTACAGCGGAAGCATGCATTTGAACCGGCGTTATATTGCGCCGTAGCCGTGCTGTGGAGGAACGTCTGGTTTCGCCCGCCGCACGCGTGATGAGTGCAACGAAGCGAAACATGTCTCCAATGTATCCCAGTCACGTGTACATATTCTATGTATATTTGCCGACTCAAATATATGTTCCATTTATACTGATCGTGGTTTCAATGTAAGGCTACCGTGGTGTTAATCCTGCTGTTTCCATGGGATGACCTCTGGACTGAGTGTTTCCGCCTTGTCGCGATCCAAACGCTCATCAGACAGCCTCTCAACGGGCCGATGAGCATGTCCATCACGTCCAGAAATTTACTGCTTGAGAAGCTGCCCAGCTCCGCAAGCCCATCACACCCATCTCAAGGTGCAATAGTTGGCCAACGATCACGACTGGATGAGGCGGAAGTCGCAGACCGCCATGTCGTGGCGGGCGTCGGCGCCCCGCTGGTGGTAACGTCCCACGAGCGGGGTGCTGGTAGTGTAGTGGTTAACCACGCGTCTTCGCTAACCACCGCCCGGCTGGGAAACCAGAGGTTCCGGGTTCCATTCTCCGTGGTGCTTGCCCTTCCTGGCAGGGTGAACGCGGATGACGCCATGTACCGTCAGCAGCTAAATGCGTTGTAAAACCTCAGTGACTCGCCTACCCGATACCGCACGGGCGGCGTCAACATGATCACTCTGTCTGGGCTGGCTGACGTCCGCTCTGTTGTGACTGTCTGACGTCCGCTCTGTCGGGACTGGCTGACGTGCGCTCTGTCGGGGCTGGCTGACGTCCGCTCTGTCGGGGCTGGCTGACGTCCGTTCTGTCGGGGCTGGCTGACGTCCGCTCTGTCGGGGCTGGCTGACGTCCGCTCTGTCGGGGCTGGCTGACGTCCGCTCTGTTGTGACTGTCTGACGTCCGCTCTGTCGGGGCTGGCTGACGTCCGCTCTGCCGGGGCTGGCTGACGTCCGCTCTGTCGGGGCTGGCTGCCGTCCGCTCTGTCGGGGCTGGCTGACGTCCGCTCTGTCAGGGCTGGCTGACGTCCGCTCTGTCGTGACTGTCTGACATCCGCTCTGTTGTGACTGTCTGATGTCCGCTCTGTCGAGGCTGGCTGACGTCCGCTCTGTCGGGGCTGGCTGACGTCCGCTCTGTTGTGACTGCCTGATGCCCGCTCTGTCGGGGCTGGCTGACGTCCGCTCTGTTGTGACTGTCTGACGTCTGCTCTGTCGGGGCTGGCCGACGTCCGCTCTGTCGGGGCTGGCTGCCGTCCGCTCTGTCGGGGCTGGCTGACGTCCGCTCTGTTGTGACTGTCTGACGTCCGCTCTGTCGGGGCTGGCTGACGTCCGCTCTGTTGTGACTGTCTGACGTCCGTTCTGTCGGGGCTGGTTAACGCCCGCTCTGTCGGGGCTGGCTGACGTCCGCTCTGTTGTGACCGTCTGATGTTCGCTCTGTCAGGGCTGGCTGACGTCCGCTCTATCGGGGCTGGCTGACGTCCGCTCTGTCGGGGCTGGCTGACGTCCGCTCTGTCGGGGCTGGCTGACAACACGCTGGCTGGCGTATGTCACCGGACATCCAGCAGGACGACTTGTGGCCACGACGACGTGGCGGCCGGTCGTTCGGGCATGGGATCCTCCGAGCGATGCGATGCGATGGGAGCGATGCGATGCGGTGCGAGCGACGGGAGCGAGCTTCACGCAGCGCGTTGGGGGCGTGTTATTGAAGACGGTGTACTTCTCGGTCAAATTCAACGCACAGTAGCTCCAAGAAAGCCTCCCGCGTACACCGCGCTCCAGGTCGACTTAAATGGGTTTTTACAATGCGAGTGGTTTTCTTTGGTCGCTTCAAGGCGAGTATACTGTTGTTGTGGACACCTCCCCATCCCACGACCGGATGTTGCGCAACACCCGTTTTCCCTATCCTGTTGTGTTCACCCGACGCCCGGCTGCCTTGTCGGATCTGTGAGGCCGACTGCAGACAGCGGCACGTGCCAATGTGGCTCTCCTCCGCCAGACGCACCCGCCAGTTAGGCCCTCGTGTGTCGGTTCTGGAAAAAAACCGGCGAATGGTGACAATTGGTGGCGCATGCGCACTACGGTCGCGCATTACGAGTCCCATAACCCCAGTGATTATCGTTGGCATATTTCGCGCGCGGTAAATTGCTGCACACAGGCCGTAAATTCCGTGCCCGTGTATTTTACGATTTGCACATAGAATCAGGTTCGAAGTGGAGGTGAAAATATATTTACATGCGTATCTCAGAAAAACAGTAGCAACAAACTATATGCATATGCGTTTAAACAAATGCACTAGAGGATAACCCTGCAACACGTAACAAAGCAGGGGCGCAGTTTCGTAAAAGGAGTTGGGGTTGAACAGTGAAAAATGGCCCAAATTGCCCTAAAATATACTAACAAACAGGCTTCCTTCCGGATCTTGCCCACTTTCTCCCCAAAGCTGGGAGGGCTGAAGCCCATGCTGAGTTGGGGTGGGGTGGGGGGGGGGGGGAGCTGAAGCCCCTATCCCACCCAACTGAACAAGGAACTAGATCCCTCTAAGAAAGTACGCGCTCCTTCCAAACAACAATAATAACTAAGTAATCCACTCTCCCAAGACAGCAGCACCAAGTGATAACAATCCAGCACCTGAAAGACAAAAATTGCATCAAATATATGACAACTAAGAACTATTCTACAGAATGCCAACCCGTGTCACGAATTGAACCTGGTCTTAACCGCACGCTTCAACTAATTTCGATGTGATCAAATGACATCGTGTATAGTTTGTCAGCTTCCGAATTTTGGAGCCATCCTTCGAGATGCATTGGCGCGCCACTTTACTTGCCGCCATTATTGGCCTCTCCATCATACGTGCAACGCGCATTTAAGTATTTGGAGAGAGAGAGAGAGAGAGAGAGAGAGAGAGAGAGAGAGAGAGAGAGAGAGAGAGAGAGAGAGAGAGAGAGAGAGAGAGAGAGAGAGAGAGAGAGAGAGAGAGAGAGAGAGAGAGAGAGAGAGAGAGAGAGAGAGAGGAGAGAGAGAGAGAGAGAGAGAGAGAGAGAGAGAGAGAGAGAGAGGAGAGAGAGAGAGAGGAGAGAGAGAGAGAGAGAGAGAGAGAGAAGAGAGAGAGAGAGAGAGAGAGAGAGAGAGAGAGAGGAGAGAGAGAGAGAGAGAGAGAGAGAGAGAGAGAGAGAGAGAGAGAGAGAGAGAGAGAGAGAGAGAGAGAGAGAGAGAGAGAGAGAGAGAGAGAGAGAGAGAGAGAGAGAGAAGAGAGGAGAGAGAGAGAGAGAGAGAGAGAGAGAGGAGAGAGAGAGAGAGGAGAGAGAGAGAGAGAGAGAGAGAGAGAGAGAGAGAGAGGAGAGAAGAGAGAGAGAGAGAGAGAGAGAGAGAGAGAGAGAGAGAGAGAGAGAGAGAGAGAGAGATCCGCAAACTGACAACGTTGCCAATCTGACCGACTAAGCCGGGTTGCATGCCACCTCATGACGTCACCCTCGCTTAGCGGGCGGGGGGGGGGGCAGAGTTGGCAGCATGCCAGCTAAAACACTCTGATGTGCCTCTGCCCCTGACACTTTGCCATGTATTACCCTGACGTCGCCTTGTAACACTGCTAGTTGGATAATAGTACAAGTGGCCCACCGGTTGTTGTCCTTGAAGCTGGCTGCTTTCGGTTATCTCTTATTAACAGATACTATCAAGCAGCACTAAGATGAAATTTTTTACTCCTTTGGTTGGACTTGATGTTGTGTGTTTGTACAGCAGGCTACACTTTTATTAGCTGACAATTTGGCATCCTTCAACGCCTCGGTTACTAACGCTGGTGTTATCCTAAGGTTCTGTCTGCCGCCGTGGACAGAGGTGAACACTTCCGTCCCGATTACCTGTTAAAGTGCGATGGTAAGACATA